CCAGGGCTTGGCAGCAGTTTCCGTTGTGTCCACAAGTTGCTATTCGAGCTGTTAGACGATGGGATAAACAATAAACAACTGACTGTAACATCCTAACGTTGGTTTTGTGGCACGGAGAATTTTTCGTTGATACTAGCCTAGTAGACGTTTCAATGTAGTTCTATCCAGCCCAACTGCGATTGGTTGTTCGTTTTACGAGTAGTGCTTAGTTCTGATTTAACCATGATTGTCAGTGTTCATGTCAGGTCTAATAAACCTCCTGTTTACAATCACCATTCTCAATAAAGTGATAAACTATTGTTTTGCTGGATAGCAATATAGTTCCTTTGAAAATTAAGGTTGACTTGTCTAACTGTCGCTTGGGTGATGTGCTGTATTTACAGGGTCCTCTAGAGATTGCTTTGGTGTTCTTGTGTCACGATAAGGACTCTGAAGATGGCACAGAAACGCCAATGACCACGAGACACCATCACAGACTAAGACTCTGTTTCAAAGAGTTTATCAAGAGGTAATGCTAGTGTGTATAGCCAGGCAAACAACAAACCGAGGCATAAAAATCAGTCAAGAAGCACTTTTTGTGCATGATGCAAGACTCGAATGATTAAGCAACTCAACCGAAGTTACGTGCATCGCAAGAGCTAACGAGTGAGCAAGAATCTTCTTCGTACGTATGATGCACGATCCTCGCAGTAGATAGCGCTATTTAAGCAATAGCGAAAATCAGACCTGAAAAAAATCAGGCCTGTACGGGATTCGAACCACTGACCTCTGCGATACTAGTGCAGCGCTCTTACCAATTGAGCTAACAAGCCAACTGGGAGCAGGCCGTTAAGTTGATTCGTAATAAACCCGTGAAAGTGATAAATCAGATACAATGAAATATATGAAGTTCATATATTTTGAACTGCGGTATTAGATACGTATGATGCACGATCCTCGCAGTAGATAGCGCTATTTAAGCAATAGCGAAAATCAGACCTGAAAAAAAAATTATCTGATTTATCACTTTCACGGGTTTATTACGAATCAACTTAACGGCCTGCTCCCAGTTGGCTTGTTAGCTCAATTGGTAGAGCGCTGCACTAGTATCGCAGAGGTCAGTGGTTCGAATCCCGTACAGGCCTGATTTTTTTGAGGTTTGATTTTCGCTATTGCTTAAATAGCGCTATCTACTGCGAGGATCGTGCATCATACGTATCTAATACCGCAGTTCAAAATATACGAACTTCATATATTACCCAACAGTTCTATGTTGGCAGTTTCTGTAGTTGAGAGTATTGAGTCGGCAAGGGGGATATCCTTCAATAGGAGACTGAATTTCTCTGGGTTGAAGTATGTTCGTTGCAGGTTACCGGTTATCGTGGGTACAACATTGACTCTTAAATGCAGAGATGATCCACCCTTTGTTAAAAGCCGGAGTTCAATGATAGGAGTGTGAAGCTCTCTGGGTTTTGATGCACTGAATGTATACACTGTTAGTGTTTCTGATCCTGTGATTGGCAACTAGAGTTTTTCTGCTAGCTCGTTGGTGATGTAGGTCCTTTGGCTGCCTGTGTCTAGAAGCAATCTGGTGGTAACTTTTCTTGATTTTTGCAAGTTTTCTACTTCCACGGTGGCAGTTTGCATCAGCACTTGTTTGTCAGAGGACAGCAAGGTATGTTCTGTAGCAACAGTAGCAGATAAGGTTTCAGTAAAAAAATGTGCCATTTCTGAGGACTTCTCAACTGGAAACTTCTTAATGCAGAAACTTCTGTGGTGACGATTTCTTTGTTTGCAATAAACACACCCCTTCTTCACTGTACAATTTTTCTGTTGGTGACCTTGTTTGAGACAGATAAAACAGTGCCCCTTGATCTTTTCTTTCCCAGCTGTCACAGTTGGAAAAGTTTAACACTCATCACTCCAGTGTTGTCCACTGCAATAAATGCAAATAATTTTCTTTCTTCCTGTGAGATTATGCGGTTGTTTAGTTTCAGACAGTAATGCACCTGTAATAGTGTTTGAGCCAAACTGGGTGACCTGTGATGTAGACCACATGTTTCCAACCGAGCCTTTGTAGTCAACTTTGTAAGAAGTTTGCCTATCTGCATTTTCCCTGGTACTGATGTACCTATGCAACTGATCTCTGAGTAAAGGCTAATAGTTTCGAAAGAAACTGTTTGGGGCTACGTCGGTGGGAGTAACGAAATAATTTGGATATATCAACAAAGTTGAAATGGTAAATTGGCCACCGTGACGATTACAAAAGCTGACGTTTCGAGGGTTAGCCCTTCGTCGGAGCGAATAGAGGAATTGTGGGTTGTGTGTGCTTTTAAAGGCAGAAAATGGAGCTACGTTATTGGTGGGAACATGGCAACGAGAAAAACATGAATAAATTAGTGGAATGAAAAGCGTTCGTTGATCCCTGTGGGATTTAGACTGCCGGTTTGAAAGATGAGCTTTTGTTCAAGATTTTTACGGCTTTCCGTGCCACCTAAGTGCAAGGAAAGACCGCAGATTGCCATATGTTGCTTAGAATGATTAGGTAAATTAAAATGTCTAGCGACTGGTTTCGATGTGTCCTTGTCATTCCTTTCCACGTCTCGGAGGTGTTCTCGGAATCGGTCACCTAGTCTTCTGCCTGATTCGTCGATGTATATCTTTTTGCAATATATGCAAGTTATTCAATAGATTATATTGGCGGAGGTGCACGTGAAGTGATCGGTGATCTTAATGGATCGTTTAGGTCCCGATATTTTATCAGTGTTGTGAATGAAAGGACACGTTTTGCATCGTGCACGAGCGCATTTAAAAGTGCCTGGTTGGTCATTAGTCTGAAAAGAACTTCTGACCAAAAACTTGCCTATGTTTTTGTCGCGTTTGAATGAAATGAGCGGAGGCTGCGGGCACTATCTTTCCGCCGTAAAAATCTTGAACAAAAGCTCATCTTTGAAACCGGCAGTCTAAATCCCACAGGGATCAACGAACGCTTTTCATTCCACTAATTTATTCATGTTTTTCTCGTTGCCATGTTCCCACCGATAACGTTGCTCCATTTTCTGCCTTTAAAAGCACACACAACCCACAATTCCTCTATTCGCTCCGACGAAGGGCTAACGCCCGAAACGTCAGCTTTTGTAATCGATACGGTGGCCAATTTACCATTTCAACTTTGTTGATATATCCAAATGATCTCTGAGTAGCTGCACTGTCCATTCATCACCATCATTTTTCTGGTCAGTCAGGTGGATGAGAACATCTTTGGGTAGATTAGCTATTATCAGGGATACTAGTATTTTACTCTTAATATTCTCTCCAAGAGCTTCTAATGATCTAAGGTGTTTTTCAATGATATCATAGTTCTTACGTAGGGCTGATGTTTGACTTGAGGAGGCAGGTAAATCCATAAGACTGGTATAATGAACATTAACGATGACCTCATTTTGTGAATAACGTTCCTTCGACAATTTTATGGATTGCTCGTAGTTTGCATTAGTCAGGGGTAGACCTGAGATAACATCTGCAGCATCACCTTGTAGCTGAGCTCTGAGGTAATTCATTTTTTCTACTGGACTGAGAGATGGATTAGAATGCATAGCTGAGTTAAAGGAATCCCAGAATTCTTGACAATTTAGGAGCCCTCCACTAAACTTCTTGAAGTCAAGCTCAGGTAATTTTACAGTGTTAGGTCTCATACCTTGTTTAGTGTCAACTTCTAATTTCTTCCTCAGCTTTTCTTTCTCCAGGGTAAGTCGTTCTGCCTCAATTTGTAATTTTCGGTGTTTAATTTCGGCCTTATTTTGTTCGATCTCTAGCATCTTCTCTTCGAGTTCAAAGTTCACCTTATTTGTCCCTCGTTGTATTTGAATTCCATTCGGTCCTTTATCATGGCCATTTTTGAGCTCAATCGTACCACGGCGTCATCTGCTTCCAAAACTAGATTAACAAATTCATCATAATCTTTCATGACTTTATCGTGTTCTGATTTACCAGCGAGTTTTGCAGCAGAGTCAAGTTGCACGCGAAGGCTTTGATAAACACATTTAAACCTTTTAGTTGCGGGATATTTTGATCAGGATTAGCATATGAAATTTTGGTTTCCGTTAAGCCCCAGAACAGAAAACTGAAAATCTAATTCATCCAAAATATGCGTTTGTAGATTGTCAATATTTCTTCTAATGCTACGTATATTAGTATGAAAGACTGAAAATCCATGTTTGGATTGATCTTTATGTAGCCGTTTTTTGAATTAATTAAAACTATGAGGTGAGAGTGTATAATATTTACATCGAATACAGTTATTTGACTGGTTTATTTGATCGTGCGGATGAGTATTGAGGCTAAACAGATCAATGTCGTGAAAGCTACGTAATTTGTCTAAATAGGTTTTTAGTAGGTAGGTTCGAAGGGAGGAGATTATTGAATTGACCATGTGAGCTTGGTATGTCATATTCAGAATATGGAGGACCACGCAACAATAGCCTGTTATTTTTTCCTTTACCGTAGTTTGACTTCACCTTCCGATCAAAGTAGAAAATCCATATTAATTTCCTTAGCTCAGTCACAAATTTGTCCACCAGATCCTTGGGAAGACGTCATATTGTCTGGTAATAGAGCACTGAGATCGCTGATCCGGTTAAGCTTCTCGACGTGTCGTTTTGGCGTAGGACGGTAAATCGCAGAGTTCTTAGACCAACAGTATTTGTAGTCTTAAAGCGTTTGGCTTCGAACAACAAATCTTGCAGCTGTGGAGTAAGATGATCGTAGATGCTAATACGGTTGATAGAACCAGATGTTAAGTCGAGATCGGTAGCGACCACATTGTTGGTCGCTCCTCTTGCAGACATGACTTTCTCTTTTGCTAATCGTCGGACAAATTTACAGATAACAGGACTTGATTTTGATCTCTCGGCCTGAGCTGATTTTCGGGAACCTGGTGCGCGATGTCGATATCCTGTATTTTGATGTCTACTTCGATGGATGCGAATAGCTTCAAAGAAATTTTGGTTGTGTCTTCGGAAGACTCCTTATTTGGCACTTGTGCAATGCCAACTGTCTTGACGTTGTATTGATAGCTATACATCTTAAGAGAGTCAATAGCTTGATAGATTCTATCGACTTGCGAAGAAATTGTATCAAGGTAACCGGATAACCGTTTTATTTGGTCCCATATTTTCTTTGTACCTGCCGCGAGGTCGTCATATTCGTCGCTTAAGAACTGGACGCCATCTCATCTCCTTTATTTGTTTGAGCAGGTTGAATTATGGCAGCTATTTGCTGATGTGGACCTGCTATCTTCCCACCCTTCCCACCCCAGGGGAGGACATCCATCACCCAGTAATATCGTGTGTGGGAAATTAACGTCTCCTACCCCAACCCTGCAGGAATTGGGACCTCCATTTGTTCGTCCCTATCCGAGAAGACTAGAATATCTAACCATTTCTTGATGTTATAGAAAGGTAGCAAGTTCTTCTCAATTATTTTAAGACCTAGAGTGTTGGTCTGGCCCGGGCTCGAACTCTCGACCTCCCGCACGACAGTCCAGCGCACTATCCATTGGGCTAACTGGCCGGCGTTCTTGTTCTTCATTGTTTTGTATAGTTGATTTAATGAAAAATTTTAGCGACTCTAGCTCTGATTCCATTCCTTTTTAACTTTGATTTGAGATCATTGTTCTCTCTCCTTAGCGTTCTCACTGACATAATAAATTAGTAAGGTTAACTGCGACTCAAAGCCAAAGTAATTGTGGAGCCGATTTTTGTGCGTCCGACCTCCTCGAACGCTACGAGGTGTCCTTCTGATAATTCAAATTTAAAAAGTGGCAAAAAGCATCTCTTTAGCGTTTGTGTTGATATACAATGCATATGTTGAACTAGTCCACAACTTGATCTAAAAAAGATTCATGTTCAGTGCCCTGCTAGTTATGAAGATATGTGTCATAAAATCAGGTTTGCCGCAGTATAAACATGCACCGTTCATGCTGATCCCATGCATATCTAAACAGTACTAGTTCTTTCTTTGTAACGATACTACTATGAATTAAAAACGTCTGAAATTTTTCATTACTTCGTATCATACACACTTTGTATCAGGAACCTCTCTAAAAATCTTCTGTTTCTTCCTGTCTGTCAAACAAAAAAATCTTTGCACTATCTTCTTGTGCTTGCTGAGATTAAATTATGAGTATAATCACTCAAGTGAACATGAGATGCGCGCGCTCTGATTGGTAGAGGATTGCGTTCTAAAGCGCTATAATTACCTCGCACGAGGTGAGTATAACAGGGGTGCTACATTTCAAAGTGGCTGCCTCGTGTTTTGGAAACGTTTCCGAGGAAGTGATAACGCAATATAAGAACATAGGCATGTTACGCATGCAGGAGTTATTTTTTTTGGATATGTGAGTTGAAATGGGACACCTAGTAACTGATGCTGGCATAATAAACTGCATTGACACCACGCTTCCTGCAATCCCCTCCACAGCCCTAATTTGAACTCGTCACGCAACGCTCTCTCTCCAGGTCGTTGTTTCCTGTTCAGAAAAATGCACAATAGACGTTATGTAGCACTTTTTAATTGGCGTAAAGCAATGTGGTGGACATAGCCTGGGAACGAGGACGAGTTTATCTTTCGAGCGAACTTAAATATATTTATTTAAAGCGCAAACCTAATACTGTAAATCACTTCTATTATTATCGTACCGATGAAAACAAGAACCCTTGGGAACAGTAAAAGTTCATTAGCCGATTGTTTAAATTCGATTAATTAATACGATTGTCTCAGATTAATATAGCAGACGAAACAACCATGCTTTTCTGACAAAAAAAAAAAAAAAACTTGTTGAAGTCCCTGCCACATACCTTAAATTTCAATCAGTCAAAAAACTTGCGGTCCATAAAATGCCTTTTGTGATATATCGTTCCAGGGCAAGAAAAACTTCAGAGGTTTGTTATCAGATATAAGCAGGAGAAAAAGTCATCGCGTTCAAAAACAAATTTTAGTGAGCGACCCCACATTTCCTCCAGCGATTTTAATATTTCCAAATTGTCATGGATGGCATCAACTTGTTCCAAAGTCTTAATCCACATAACTCTCCATGTTAACAAATAATGAAAAGCACTTGACAGCGATTTTGCTAAAACAGCAACGCCTTCAATTCGAACCAATTCAATTCCATCCGCTGAACCGCAAATCCGGCCATAATATAGGCTCGGTGTAGCATCTTGTTTAGTAACAGATAGTTGCCTCAAAATATTCTTCCAAATAATTTTGTAGTGGAAAGCTCTATTTTATCTCCAACAGCCTCTGAACAAAGATATTTTTCGGTCTCCGTTCTTCGAACAAGTGAAAATAAAGTGAACGATGAGAAAAGTATCGTTTTTCAAAGCATAACAACGTGGGCTTCTAATAGGTCGTTGCCTATCTGGACTTTGCCCAGTGCGTGCGAAATACGTGATAAAATCCAGGTTGTTTACTGGGAGTTGACACGCAATGGGGTAAAGTCTAAGGTAGCTAAACGCGAATTTTATTGGTAGAAAACGTCTAGCACGTGAGGGTTGCGAGGAAAATTGACCAACTGTACCATTATGTTCCTTGTGAAATATTTTTCAATGAGGCAGAATTATTTCATAAAGTTTACGTTGTTTACTGGAAAATGGCATTTCATCTGAGAAAGTCTAGTCCATACTGGCGAGTAAAAAGTAAGCATGCAGTTGTAGCGGGAAAGTATCGTTCAAACAATATTTAATTCACGAAGAACTTTTAGAAGCTAACATGGTAGTCGACGCAGAAAGTAAATATAACTTGGTGGTCTTTTCAACCTTTGCAAATAGAGCAGCCACAGGGCAAAAAACAAGATCATCAATGAAATATGATATATGCAAATGCCTCGCGCAAGTTTGACCAGAATCAGCAAAATTAGCCCTTCCGAAAAACCACGCTCTGGTGTTAAATTCGTGTTAGGCCTCTAGCTGACGATGTGTGCGTTATAAGTGAAGGAGCAGTACACAAAACATGCAAGTTATAACTTGAAATTTGCAGAAAAAATCCCTAAAGACCTTTCTAATTCCAACAAATGATAGCGATAAAGTCCCCACAAAGGACAGCCATTACACTGTGTAGATTAGTTCACAATTCTTGTCATTCTTACCTCGTTCTTTAAACGAAATTAAAAATAGAATTCATGTATAGCCATGAAATATCCCTCAGCCGAGAAAACGAAATAAAGTAAGCGCAGAACTGTGTTAACACTTGATAAACTTCACCTTTTCTTTAATTATTCTTCGACTTCAAAAGCGCGGCATTACGGGAGCGCTAGTTTAATGGCCCCATCAATATATCATTCTTCGACTTCGTGAGCGTGGGACTGCGGATGCACTAGTTTTAAGGGCCATATCATTTTATCATTCTTCGACTTCAGGAGAGCTTGAACGCGGGACCTCTGGTTTAAATGTCCGCTCTTTTAATACTACTTTTCGACACCGGGACCGCGGGAGCAATCCATTCATAACAGTCAATAGCGGCCGAGTATTCTGAAGTTGCTCCATCAACATCTCAAGCAATATTTGATTCAACATTTCTTTCATGTCTCCTTTACAACGAAGAACAATCATAGTCATACATTGATCTCGACTCCACCGCTTTCCCAATACGTTTCCTTAATTCGCGAACCGCTCTACCCAAGTCATGCGTTGATTCGCTGAAATTTGAAGACCTGTCAAACCACAAATTAGCAAGAACGCTCTGATTGGTGCGACATCGAAAAAAACTACCATCTGATTGGATTGTGCTACCCCCAAAAATTGCGCCAATCACATTGCCTTGAGATACACCAAAAAAAGATGCGTCAATCAGATTGCTTAGAGATAAACCAAATTGCACTGATCATATTACACTACACCAGAATACACCAATCTATACGCTAAGATATAGTTATTTTTTTTTCCAAAAAATAACTCAAAAATTAATTGTGAAGAGTACAAGAGATACTACTGAGTTTGGCGGAACACTTTTTTTTAAAGAAAGACATGACGTTTTGCTGATTAATTGAACAAACCTCGTAAATCTCCTTTCTTATCCTGATACCACTAATCACCACAATTGTAACAAAATGTACGAAATGCTTTCTTCATTTACAGAATACATTACGAAATTCGAAAGCACATAAGCAATTGTACTTCAACAGCTACTCGCCTAAGGCTCAGCGGACATTGTTGAATAATCCCCGCGAATTCGTCTCAATAATAATAATAATAATCCATACTACTCCTAGCAACTACTTCTAGCAAGCTTCTTGGCCTTACCATCAACAACACACTAACATGGAACGATCATGTAGCTAGTTTAGCTAAGAAAGCAGCTAGGAAAATTCATTTCCTCGTGCAACTTAAACGTGCACGTGTTCCAGCCGAAGATCTAGTTGCCTACTACTGCGCATGTATTAGATCCTCTCTTGACTACGCTTGCCCTGTGTTCCATTATTCTCTACCTCAGTACTTACAGTCAGAGTTAGAAAGAGTTCAGAAAAGAGCTCTGGCGTGTATTTTTCCTAGAATGCCGTACGGGGAAGCGTTAGAGCGCCCCTGTTTGACTTCTATCAGGGAACATCACGAAGACGTTATAAAGCCGTTATTTAAATCAATCAGCGAGAATCAGAACAGTAAACTACACTTAATTCCTGAAGCCCACAGCTCTCATTATAATTTAAGGCGCCAAAGGAGGTTCAATGTACTAGCAGCCAAGAAAAAGCGTTTTGCTAATTCGTTTTTCGTATAGAGAACTTTTAATAGAACTTTAAGTCATCACATTTTATATTTGTATAGTAGTAGTTTGTAAAAAAATTGCGCAATTCAGTATTTTACTGCGATGTGATTTTAATAAACCAGTCTATCCATAATTAATAATAATATCCATAGTTAGTCTGGCGTGCAAAATGCTGCCGCCAGACTAATTATGGATATCGCGAAGTATTCTCACATTACTCCAGCACTCTATGAGTTACACTGGTTACCAGTACTAGGGCGTATACATTTTAAGATCCTATTATTAACTTTTAAAGCCATTCATGGCCTCGCACCCGCACATATTAACAATCTTTTAGTTATCAAACGCAAGTCTTTGTACAATCTTAGATCTAACTAAGGTATTTTATTACAACCACCAATAGGTAAAATGCTGGCAACCCTGGGTAAACGTGCATTTCAGGCAGCTGCACCGCATCTATGGAATGAGCTACCATTGCAATTACGCAATATTCGATCTGTAGAAATTTTTAAGAATTCAATTGAGACTTTTCTCTTTAGGCAATCCTTTCAATAGTGGTTAAGTTATGAATTTTATATAGCCAATTCAACTATAATATGTAATTATTTTTTAATTAGTTGAGATTTTAATATTTAGAGATATTAATTGTAAAGCGCTATTGATCTGTCATTGTAAATAGCGATATATAATAAATAATAATTATATTAGTAATAATTATAATAACAAAATTTATTACTTCTATTGCGCCTTGTCTATAAAATATTCAAAGGCGCATCACAACACTTTCGGGAGACTTTAGCCGGACTGCATGAAGCAGTTTACAATAACAATCGAAGGAAACTTATTTGAAGATGCCCCCTCCCCTAGTTTCCTGTAAACAGGCCAGATCACATCACAGTAATCTCGTGAGTTGGTCCTTCAACGTTCCCTGCCTAACCAAGTTAACTAACTAACAGATGCAGGAGACGGGACCTACGGTTTATTCATCCTTATCCGAGAAGACTAGAATGTCTAACCATTTCTTGATATTATAGAAAGGTAGCACATTCTCCTCAGTTATTTTAAGACCTTGAGTTTTGGTCTGGGCGGGCTCGAACCCTCGATCCCCTGCACAACAGTCCGGCGCTCTACTAGAGTGATAGAGCTAACCGGGAGGCGGTCATGTCTCGTGGATTATGCAACAACTTTCACTTTGCCTTAAGCGAATACTTATTAAAGAGAACCTGGCCTTTAATGTTTTCAGATAGTTTGATTTTTTGGTTTAATGAGAAGGGCGTGATTTTCTTTTGCGCTAACATCGGACTCTGGACTATTATTTGCACCTTATCTTTTGATGCCTCAGGATTGCGTTTTTATTTATCAGAAGTGGAGGAACTTAGTTTTCGAGGCTATAGATATTGACCGTTTTCCTAGGTTCATCGAAAGCCATTAGAATATTGTTATAGAAGTTTGGAAAGTGATCAAAACGCTTCACATCATAATTGCATCTCAGAGGAAAGTCAAATTAGTCTGGAATTGATTTCCAATAGGCCCTTTGCAGCTAGGAAGTCACGTGCCTAGCAACGCCAAATTGGAGAGCAAGCTCTTCCGCAAAGACAAATCGAATGAGTCTCTTGAGCATCACGGGTTTGTATATCTGAAAGGCAGTTATTTTGACGAGAAAGGAATTTTCTAATTGAAGCTTGTCTCAACGCTTTTTTCAATAATCCAATGGCAACCATCCATATAACTCCATAGCAGTAGTCCTGGAAAACCGAGTGTGTTTCATTTTATTTCCTATGTTATTTTGAAAGAAGCAAAACAAACTGTCCTTAGCTGAAGCAAGTGTTTCTCAAGTGAGTCACGTTTAAAAATCAAAGTCACACAGCCCCAACGAATTAATGTTTAAAACCTTCGTATGGTGATGAATCCTTTAGGAAGAAGAGTAGTAATTCCTCTTCGTTGAGAAATTGAGAGTTTTCTATGTTGGTCTGCTGCGTTCAGGCTTTTTAGGGGGTCTACTCTTATCAAGTAAGAAAAGCATTCCTATAGCATTCAACCGTAAACCTGTTTACTTCTACTCATACAAGTAAAATCATTGTTAGGGAAGGAAAACCTAACGATTAACGTCAAATTCTCTTTCGCTGTGTGCGGGATTAAACGTAATCAAATGAAGAATTGATAACACGAATGTTGCATTTCGTTACACACTAAAGCCTCTTGTATACAGATCCCGCCATCCGACTGCAGGGTGCGTGCCATCAGCTATCGAGATTCACAAGTCAGGCACTACCCGAAAGGCACGACATTTGTGACCGGCGCATTTTTTATCCTTGCCTCTCAGTCAGTGAGTGGCTCCCTTAAAGGCCAGCTGTCCTAAGCTTCTCCTGTGTTTCGTTTCTTGATCACCATTCATGCGCACACTTACCGAAACAGTTAGGATCGATGTGTTTCAACTGCAGTGGTAAAAAAGATTAACCAATCGTAGCGAAGGAAAGTTCTTAAAGGAAGGTTCATAAATTTCCCGATGTATCTCTCTCGCTACGTATCGGTCTCAAGTGACCGCATTATGGGACAAACAAGTACGTTTTTTGATAATAATAATAATTCCTAATGGTAATTGAACAGAGTGGAGTGCAATTTGGGCTGAAATCATACGCGTGATTTCAAAATCGAACGAGCGCGCAGCGCGAGTTCAATTTGAAATCACAAGTATGATTTCAGTCCAAAATTGCACGACACGAGGTTCAATTACTACATTATTACATCCATTTTGAAATCGCCCAAATACAGGACTTGGTCAATTAAAATATTTTACTGATGCAGTACTGAGCCGGTTTTTAAATAAAAAGTGGAACCAGAAACGCGTTTACATCTTATTTTGTATGCAAAACAGAAAGACTGACATCATGTGTCAAAAACTCAGTCAAGCGTAAAATGATGCGATTTAGAGCAAAAAATGGTGCGATTTGGGAATAAATCACACCAATTAAAGCCAATCAGATTACAGGGACCACCGGTGATTTCAAAATGGACGTAATAAATTTCTTTAAATAGCTAAAAAAAATGTAAAAGATGAATTGCTTTGACGCCTCCATAGTTATTTTAGGGCTGAATGACTGAATGAAAAATTTGCATGCACTCAACATCCGACTGGTTGAATCAAGTGTGAATCCGTCCTCACGTGAAGCAAATAATAATTAAAATATTAGAAACAAACCATTTAATATCAACTTTGGTTTATACTTGGAGGAACCTGATCAGAGCCAGAACTATGAACTAGTCATTGTCGAGCCGACAGACTACATAGTTGTTGTAGTAATAGTGATAGTTTATACTATTCGGCAACTATGTCGTACTTTAATGGCAATAAGTTGTAAGACAAGTCAGCATAAGAATGATAAAAAATTTTGGGAGGCCATCACTGAACTTAAAATCAACATTCGGCAGGGTAATTAAAAGTGAAATACATAGCACAAACAAGTGTTGATGCGATTATTTTTCATTCTAAACGCTGTTCTGACTATATCTCTATACACTATTACCGTATTGTCACCTACATCTCTCGGACAGCATGCGTCGTTCACACAGACGAAACATAGTGAACGTAGCTATTAAATACAGAATTTCCATCATTCCCTCGTTCTAACACAGATACAGCTGTTTTGTTTTTGTTTCTTTCACAATCCTTCTTCAGCCGAAACGAACGCCTTCGCCACTTCATAATTGTCGCCCTCGGATTGAAAGAAGGCTTGCAAACGATTTTGTTCCACACCGTTTCTTTAAAAGCCTGACGAAAGTCTAGCTTAAAGAATGTATAAAGCAATGGATTTATGATAGAGTTGACGTATCTAAATGGTACAAACCACTCCGTGAAGTATTCTAGGTTCCCTATCTGCACTCGTAGATTGACTAACAACGTGAGCATAAACCATGGAAGCCAACATACCGCGAAGACCGTGGCCATCACAGCAAAAATAATGGATACACGACGTTTGCTCTTTATAACTTCAAAGTTACGGCTATTGCGTCTAGGCAGTGTTGAATCTTTCTGTTTGGCTTTTCCAGATATGATTCTGAACATCACCACTAACGTGTACACTATAAAGAGGTATGAACAGGAGAACACAAACACGAGACAAAATATCCCATAGTACACCATCAACTTTCTTCCAATGGGTTTTTGACTTACGTTTATCCAAGAAACTGGAATTAAGGCAATGATAATAGACAACAGCCAGACGACTGCTAACGATGCTAACATGTTTTTCTTGGTGAGCAAACGATGTTTCAGAGGCCACTTAATGGCAAAATACTTGTCAGTTATCACGAGTAAAATGTGATATACAGTTGCCGTAGAAGTAAATGCATGAGTAACCAACATGGAGTAACTCAAGTTTGATATCATCTTTTTTGGGTTGTCAATTTCCATCGTTGGGATAAGCATGAATATGATTAGCAAGGGTATGTTCACAAATCCTGTTATGAAGTCACATACGGCAAGACTAAGCAAAGGAAAGTTTGATAGTGTTTGCAGATATCGCCTTTTCCGAAAAAGAACAAGTACTAACAAGTTTGTTGCCACAATAGCCATCGATAGTGGGACCAGTTTAGCGACTTCATTGTAGGCAGACTCTTTTTGAGTGGAATTACAACTGCTTTCTGGCATAGGAACGGGTAAGTAACGTCACTTGAATGGCCTTGTTGACGCTGAGTTATTTGCAAGTTATTCGACACTGCTCAAAGATCATTAGGCCGTGGAGTGTTCGTGTTTGATGATATGAAAAGTATGCCGAATTAAACAATGACCTGACATTCCATACAATAAGAGGCGACGATTCATTGTTTTAACAATTATTTCTTAACAAAGTAAACACTGAGCTGCTACACAATTGCTCTATAGTCAACAGTATTTATTGCAGAAACAAAAAAAACGCTACTGAGATTAGCCAAACTGTAATGTATATATGAGCACTGTGTATGGCTATGAGAAAAACTTTAGGATTCTAACTCTGTTAGTATAAAAGTGCTTTAATGGGTCAGTAAATATGGACCAATATCACATTTGAAATTTCCATTCTATATACAAAAGATCCAGTTTATGGTTTTCACGCGTAGGTAGATGACTCTTTTAATCATGTCAAGAGGTATATTTTGAAGCTTCAGTCGGCTTTTCTGAGGGTGGCTCAGTCTTACCCTTATGGAAGTCAGCTTTGTAGAGGTGAAGAATGTGTTCTAATCATAGTTTTTTTAACTGAACAGAAAAAAAAATTATAGCTATTTGTGGTGTATGAAATACTCTTAAACGAACCTTACTTTTAACCACAAAAGACTGATATTTTCGTTATCTTACTCCGCAGTCTCGATGAAATGATAAAAATTATCATTTATCATTCTTAGAATAAAGTGATCGCAGAAAAGTGCAAGAAAGCAAATTAACGGATTCATCGTGCCTCCACCTTTGGGCTTCAGGTCGACAATCGTTGATTAGCCTAATTCTAATTTGCCAGGCATTGATTGAACAAGAAGTTTTGCTATCACGCTATTCAATCGTCAATAAAAGGAAATTGTTTCTGTTACTGGGACGTTACAGCATATGAAAACAGCTAAAAAGCCTAAACAAGGTGATGTTTTCCTGAGGGGAGTTATGAACGAACCGTTTAAAAGAAGAGAGCAATATTTGTATACAACAAATATTGCAGGCAACTTACATATCTAAAACCATCCTCTCTTAACACCTCTATGCGTGGCCCTTAACAATATAGGATAATTACCTTTAATTTGCTTATCTTTCTTATCGTAGAAAACAGCATTTCTAAAAGAAATGAGGTTATCACTGTAGTGACGTTCCTACTGCTTTTCAGGCAAAGATAACATCTCAAAATGACTTGTAAGTTTACTTCCATCTCTAATGGCAAGTTCCCATTGCTGTTCGTTTTCTATTAAAATAGGGCCCACTCTAGATTTGGAGACGATCTTTTTTTATGACCAATATAATTAGCAGGAGAACCACACAACTTCCAACAAACGAAAAACCAATGACCACGTATTTTGGGCTTTTGTGTGGTACTTTAGTGGTTTCTATTTGAGTGAAAGGTGATTTATCGCTTGTTACTCTAGTGGTACCATCAGTGGTTCCTTTAAAGTGAAGACAGGAGTTTTTCTTAATTACCTTATAAAGGAAATCCTTTTTCCTTATTTTTGATGCTATAATCCTCAAAATGAGTAAGCTAAATTAAAATAGATTTCAATTAAAGGAGTTGCAGTGTTTTGAAGTGTAAGGGATGGAGCTCACCATTCTCTAAGCTAAGTGAGTAGCTTTTTCAATTTTCCCAAAATGTCTTATGTAGAGGTTATTGGCACAAGCAAACCTCTCAACAATCGCTCGTGTGTACGTACTCACTTTGTCACAGTCATGTGTAAAAGGTTGTTAAATAAGAATTCAGGAGAAATAGCAATTTTGAAAGCGAGCTTCATACTTGTTGTTGAATTTCTGCTTCTATGGGGATTTTACAAACTACCCTCATACAGACGGTTAGGTTGGTTGTTACAACCTGTCTCGGACTATTTAAAACTAAAGTAGCTAACTTTTTGGTTTAGTATGTAGCTCTTTCAATCGACGAAATTAGTTTGGAGTTGACGATACTCCATTCCCAAACGCTATGAAAGTTACGTATGATGCACGATCCTCGCAGTAGAGAGCGTTATTTATGCAATAGCGAAAATCAGACCTGAAAAAAAAAAAAAAAAAAAAAAAAAAATCAGGCCTGTACGGGATTCGAACCACTTTTTCTTTCAGGGCTGATTTTCGCTATTGCATAAATAGCGCTCTCTACTGCGAGGATCGTGCATCATACGTGTCTATAACCGCAGTTCAAAATAAAGGAACTTCATATATTCATCATAGCTATGCAAGTCATAGCTGAAAACAAAACTGAGTTTTCTGATTTTAACCAGGGCTTTGTGACGTTGGGGACTTTTCATTAGGACGGTAAATATTATTGTAAAGTGTTAATGTGTCCCGAAAAGACTTTTCAATAGAGGATTTTGTTTTGAAATCTTACAATTTTCAGAATTTTCAAAATTTTGGACACAATCCACGCAATTTTCCTGTTTTTCTTGGTACCCTTGTTTGTGGTTGACGCCCTAGAATCCGAAGGAGTAAAGTAGCCATGCGTTTCTGAGTCTGAGGATTTTAGCATTTGACGCAGAGGAAGAATGGGGAATGTGTGTAATTGGCTGGTTCGCTGTCACACCATCAATCATTATCGTTAGAGTCTCATCTGTTTGGCAAGGTAGGTTTCCATTGGCCTCTGCTGTAATTCTGAGATTATACCCTTTTACCTGGCTTGGACTTCATAACAGTGGTACTACTCTCAGGATCAACCACGAAGGCATCACTGAATGATATTTATATGCTATATCGCCATTTGTCCCAAAATCTTGGTCAACAGCAGACACCGATGTAATTGTGTCACCAGGATAAACATCGGAAACCTGAAGATGCATATTTTCCGAGGGAGATTGGCTAACCTTGGGCAATTCTCGGTTTCATCATTTGTGTTTAAGTAGCTCCTTAAATGGTCACGTGGACAAACTGAAAATTCAAATGCAAACTATTGCATTTTGACAGGTCCTTACAGTTAAGTGATTTTGTTAGTATCTGCAATCTATCATTTTCACGTATGATTTAATTAGATTGCATTGTATCCACATGGAGTTAATGACTTAATGCTGAAAGATTAATGATTAATTACAAGGGCACCTTCCATGTTTTGTCAATAGGGTCTCATCTCCCCTTTCCCAGCTGTTCTCGCACTGCTCGTCTTTCTTCGCACTGTCTGTTTGCATCATACTTGCGAGAGCCCTTCATAAGCTAGGCCTTTTTTTTTGTCCACATGTTAATAATTTTTAACAAAGGTGTATTTCAGATGTGCAATTGTAATGTTCATTCGTGTGACTTACCACTTACAGCTATATCTTACAAAATTACGATTTTTGTCATGAAAAACAATTTTAAACATGTACATGCAGGTTTTTGATTGTCGTTGTCATGTATTTTGTATCATGAAATTCTGTATGTCCATGTACAGTACAGTTTATAACAAGGTGATATCACATATCTTCAGTTAACCACTTCGGGATGTTGGTGTGTTAAGTATCCAAGTTGTTTATCAATGTCCAGGTGTATGTACGTTGACTCAGTGTTAGAGTGTTGAGTTAATTCCAAGAAAATTTAATATGCGCCTTTATCTGTACACAAATGCATCTCACATGTCCTGCTTACTGACCAATGCTGAGAGGATAAAAAACTGCATGCTTCACTTATAGGTGTGATATAGTTTATGGTGCTACAATACACAATTACATATTGTGTTATTAAATAAATACAAAGTCCAGTGGTAGTAGATTTGGCATACAATAAATGAGTATATCAAATGAGCTTCATTCTCAACTTAGACTTGGTAGCCACATGGTACAATGTAGTGAATAAAAAAATAATTCGGCAGTGGACATTCCACTGGGTGGCTCTTCTTGTTCACTGTTTCCAGATCGAATAAGAATTTGGAAAGTTGGTTTTTGTGGAGGGAGGAAAACCAGAGGACCCGGAGAAAAAAACCTCGGGGTAAGGATGAGAACCAACAACGAACTCAACCCAAGTGTGACACCAGGTCCAGGAATCGAACCTGAGCCACAGCAGTGGGAGGCGAGTGCCCTCACCACTGCACCATCCCTGCTCCCCAGTGAAGAAGTCAGCTAGTCCCGTTGACTTCAATGTATGTCTGATGTTCATAATATTTTAACGTCCTGGTTATCCATCTTTGACATTTGGCATGTTACAGTTTTGAATGAATAAGTACTGGAAATGGCCGATTACACCAACTAAAGGCAAATTCATTATATGCCTAGATGCATGGTGGTCAATCCTGTAAAAATAATAAAAATATGCAATTCAAGTCACTGAATAATTATGCTAATATTATTTTGTAAATACATCGAATTTTTTTTAACTACACACCACATGTACAATGTAAGGTCTGTCAATGAGCACCTGATGTTTTTCAAGCAAAATTAATGGTGAGATCAACATACTGTTTTTTATTTTTATTTTTAGCATGAAACATTAAAAGCCAGTAAATATGGAAACCAAAGGGGTATGAAAGACTGTCTGTATTGTCTGTATTGTATGACTGTCTGTCACCAGGACAAATGAAACTGTCCATAAAAACAGATGTCCATATAATTAAGATATTGCCTGTAAGGCACGATGCCATTATATGTGAAACCTATGATGCATACTTTACATGATGTGTACAGTTTGCATATACAGTTTGTTGGTCAAAGAAGGCTGATCACTTACCTTTTGGGACTGTCTATTAATCAATTAATGGGTTGTTTAACATACCTGGGAGGAGACATGACTCATATTAAGAAATATAATAATATAAAGAATTAAAACTTAAAGTGCATGCTGTTTTGATGATGACTTTTTCTTGGTTCGCATCATGAAGGCAATCAAGAGAATGAAATCTTTAAGTTAGTGTTATATGTACATGTATTGGTACATTCAAATCTGGGTCATTCCTCAGTATTTTGGACAAAGAAAGGGTTACAAAAAACTGCTCTAATCTGATCTAATTTTCTGTTTGGGCTATAGCCAAATGGTTGAAGTGTAGAAAAAGGAAATTGTCAACAGAGTTGTCGTCATTATTTTATAAATTAACATAAATACCTGCATCGATAACAA